CATGAACACACACACATGTTCCTCTCTAGAGCACTGCTATAAATAAATTCTATTCTGCTTTAAATTACCTAAAGTAGTAGAATGAATCATTTTGTTTTTAATTATGTATCTTAAAATAAACTTGCCTCTGCCAGAGTTGGTTATCTACAAAAAATATTAATATGTATGATACTGCATTCCTTTTAGACAGTTTTTTTAGCTGATTGATTTGTTGTTTATATCAGTGATAATGTAAAAGATTAAACTCTGTTTTTCTACATATATATATATGTGTGTGTACAAATACAATCATCCTATTCATGTATAATTAACTTATGTATTAACCTGTTTTCTACATTTTCAAAACCATAAAGTTAATGAACTCAGCCACTTCTAGCAAACTCTGTAGAGACATTTTCCTTATTTTTTATTTAAATCTTATAAGTTTAAAACATGAGAAATTATTCACTGGTGTTTTATCTCTTCAAAGTTCCAATAATTGGGATAAACTTTCTTACAAATAACCCTGATCACTCAGTAAAGAAACAACAGCTGGTATGAATTTTATATTTGTCAGAATGGGTTTTTGACTGACCTTATTATGTTTTTAAAGAAGATATTTTGTTATTTCAAGGTGGATATTTTCCCAGTGCTTGAATTTTATCTTGAACAAATAATTTTTATTATTCTAACTTTTCCATAATCTACACTTGTTATTGAGTGCTCTTAGAACTTGATAATTAAAAAATAATTACCTTAAACAATTTTACAAACAAGCATACAATGACGACAAAAAACTAAATCAGATCTTCATGTAGAACTGTTTGGTCTTAGCCAATACAAGACTTTTGAAGCTCACAATGTATGAGGAGAATGATTTAAAAACAAATACACAGATGCTGCATTAGCAGATTTCTCTGGAATGAAAAAAGCTTTGCTATATTATATCTATACTATTACCAAAAGCATTGGTACAGCAAGCTTTGAGAAGTGGTTATTTTGTTTTGGAATTGAGGTTAATTACAGTGTGACCTACTACCTATGATAGTACACATCTAGTTAAATAGATCAATACTTGTTCTAAACGTTTCTGTTGTTAAATGTTATGGTATGTATTAAGTGTCAAGATTGTTTATGAACAAACATCCTGTAAATATGAGATTTCTTATGTTAAGTATCAATGGCATATCCTTATAAATAGTAAGTATGAATTCCTTTTGTTCCTAGTTCACTACTATTAAAAAGTGAAAGTATCTGTAATTGCTATTTAATCTCATCTCATCATCAATGAGTATTTGTGCTGTAATTTTAGTATATAATTTTACCTATGCAGTGCCTTAGACTACCTGGCATTTCAAAAGAAAAACAAATTAGAGACAGTTTGGAGATTCAGTAGTGGAGTCCAAGCATTGCTTTCCTTGAAAGTGTATAGTTAACTCAACCATGTGAATAGCATTGTAATACATATCTTACTTTCCTGTAATATATATATATTATATATCAAAAAGATTTTTAAATTTCTTTCAGTTCACTAAATTTGGTTAAGATTAGGGTTGCACGGGTAGTAAAATTTGGCCGAATACCAGGTCTGGGTGCAGGGACCAGGTGTCAACAGCGAATGGGTTATCCCCTCGCCCCCCCCCCCAAAAAAAAACACCAAACAAACACGACAACATACACAAAAATTAGAAATAAAAACAAAATTGACATTTATTACATTTAACTGAATAATCTCCAACAGAACATTCAAGTTTTATTTTCAGCTTTCAATGCCTAGCCCCGACTTCTCAAACCTTAACCCCTATTGTTCTTAAAACCCTCACCTTCCCTATTGTGGGCAGTCTTTGTTTATTTAACTAAACCAATTATTGATTGTAATTTTCAGTACCGCATTAGTTGCCACAAAGATTAAGGCTTAGATGCCATTTTCAATTACCCAGATTCAGCTGCACTGCTTAAGCTTCTGTGAGGGAGGGGGGGATTCCTTGCAGTTGTCACATTGAACAGGGATACTTCCACATTTTAGTGCCTGTTTCATGTTGCAGAGGGAATGTGCTTTATGCTTGCAAGTTTTGGTGCTTTTCTAGATAGATTCATTCTGACTTTTGAGGAGAGCAGACTTGTTTCTGTCCTGAGGGAGCCAAGACTAGCTGGTGAAGTTTGACCATATCTTGATCTTTTATCTGTTTCTTCTGTTGATTGTGTGAGTTAACTTTATTTGATCTAATCTTTGAATACAGTTTATTGTGCACATATTTTCATACATCATTACAATTGCAACACAACAGTGCACCTTAATACATTCCAACATAGTTTTATGTCATGTTGCTCAGCAACAAAAGTATAACCTAATATTGTTGTTAGTCTATCTACTGAAAGTATAAAATGAAATGTATAGACAACAAAACTGAAAACATATTTGTTGATTTCTTAATTTAGAGTCTCCATTGATTAAAGAGCTTTGTTTTTTTATCAAAAACATTAGTGATATAACAGAAAAAACAGCTTAATTCAGAAATGATTTAAGTTTAAAATTGAATCAATATGTTTACTTTCATACTAAATTTTATGCACTTGGCTCTGGGCTAGGTGATCCCACACTAACTACATCTTTACTTTTAAGCCTATTAGGCCAACACTCACTACACTTATAAGGTTTCACAGCCCCCTTGCTACCCCCCCCCCCCCAATCACTAAAATCATAATGTGCTGTTGCTCTAACAAACCCCTTCTATTACACTAACCATGCAGGTATTTGCTCTACAAACACCATATAGTTTAACATTTGGTACTTGTATTTACTTAGCCTCAGGCCTCACTTAGTTCTAGTAGTAGTAGTTGAATATGAGGATTGTTATTGAACATACATATTTGTGTTAAGTATCATAAAAAATATAACTCACTTGTTGGAAATCTTTTCTTTTTTCATCAGGGGGGGGGGGGTCTGTCAAATTCTTATGTATGCCCCATAAGAAAAAAATATATATCAATTTTTCTGTTACTGCAGAAGTGCATGAATAAATTTATTTTGATTGTAACTATAATAATTTTATGTTTTCAGATAAAAAAAAAGGATTTAACATACATTAATTTCTGTGTTTTTCACTTTGGTTAAGCTTAGCTTTTGTTTATGAGTGGTCTAGCATAAGGCCTGTTTCATGGGATACAGTATTTGATTTTTATCTCTGCATTTTCAAAATAGTACATTTTTGATCTACCTTAAGAATTATTTTAAACAAAAATTCCAAATTATGTTTCTAATTGTTCACACTTTCAACATAAATTTCTGCCTCATTTTTTGGGTGCTTAAATTTAAGCAATCAGATCTAAAGAAATTTTATGTTATTGTTATAACCACATGTTACATGTGAATTATCAAAAGTTACCTACTTACTAACACGTAAGAAGTGTTCAGTACATTTTACTTTGTTGACTTTGTAAACTTTATGTGTTTCTGATAGATATTTAGATATTGTCATTTTAATAATACATAAATTAGTCTTAGCTGTACCATTTATGTTTTGTCTAACTAGTGTAGATCAGGAGAACCTAGGATGTAGAATCTGTTGGACAGAGTTCACAGTGTCTTGTAAATCTCAGTCAAACTGTAGATAGACTGAACATTTCAAAATATACAGAGGATTGAGTACATTATATTAAAATAAGTTTGAATATGGTAATCCGCAAGCCTATTAACAACCACAGCCAATATAAAGTTGCTCTGGAACGTCATCTATCAGAAACACATTTTGACATTATTTGTCATTTTTTAGATATTGTGGTGCCATCAAAAATTGATTACTTTTGGTATGCAACAGCCCTTTCTGATGTAAAATATTGATACATTAAGGTTATAACAATGTGTTCATATTGGGATTTAAAATTTTCAAGAGGGTATAGCCCTTGAACTTAATGGCTTTGAAAAACAAATGAATGTGGATCAACTTAGGGAAAGATTATCATCCATAAAGAGGCCAACAACAAGCCCAAGTTATACTTCAGCCATGGTAAGCAAAGCATGGTGTTTTTTAACGGGTGATAATCCATGAACACAAAGGTCAGCAGCATAAGTCATCCATGTAACAGTACACAATAAAATCAAGAAAAATCTCCATCTGGTAAAGTGGCCCAAGTCACATGTAAGGAATATTCTGTCACAACATATCTGTTGAATTGAGTAATGAAATGGATGTTCTTGCCATCCCATACAAATATAATGGTTGATTCAATGAATGCAGTGCCTAAAAATCTATGTAATCATACCTCTGAAATGGGTGCTGGGAAACTCATTGTCCTTGTAAAGTAGATCAAATATAGAAAGCAAGCAGGAAGAAATGGTGTGCTTTGAACATGATGCTCATGTGACAGCCTTTTGCAGTGGAAGCTACACTGCAGGGTTATTGTTAAGATGCACGGATGTCATATAGAGCAGGACTGAACATAGCGACATGGTCTGTAATGATGTGGTGAGGTTCCAAAATTGTTTTAGTATAATTTTCATAATCTATGTAAAACATACAGTATCAATTAAGATTAGGCATTATGACCCAGTTGGCCTGATGAGACAAAATTTTTATTGAAAATATTTATAAGTGACACCTCACAACTATCAAAATATGATTGAAAAGCTATTAATCATTATTGATGTATTAAAATGTGAATCAGACCAGAAAAACATGCTAGGTTATTAATAGACCTGATCTATGACAGAGACAGTACAAAATAAATTTTTAACACAACTAGAGAAGTTTAAGAAATTTTAGTTTCAATTATTCAATTGTATGAGCATATTCTCATTCATGTAAATGTTTTATACATTGATTGAGAAATACTGATACATTTTGAAAAAGTTTTGCTTATAAAAGTTACATGTAAAATATTTGTTTCTATCCCACGTTTGAAGATTTTCAGCAGTTTTAGGATTTACACAATGAATTTGGTTTATATCCTTATAAATTTTATTTTTAAGCCTGTATTATTTTTTCATTATTAGTAAAATTGCTCTTGTTTTTTTCTTACAGGTCTGTTATTGCTTGGATCATGTAAGAAGAAAAGGCTTCAAATACGAAAAAAATCAGCCAATACCTTGTCCAAAATGTGGTTATGAAACACAAGAAACAAAAGAACTAAGCATGTCAGGTAGAGAGATACCTGCTGAAACAAAGATTTGTTTTAAACCATGATTTTCTTTTTGATGTACATCAAGTTTCTTGGATATCTTAATGTCTATAATTTTATTGGAAAAAGGATAAACAACTGTGCAGTTTTAAAAAATGGTGATACTACAAAAAAAGAACAAAACAATTGTCATTGATTAATGTCAGCTTGAAAAAATCGAGTATTTTCCTAACAAAATCTATTTTTAAGACCAAATAAATGTTGTTGTTTTTTTTTTCTAAAGAGGAAGAAACAAGTTAAAGATAGTAGATTAGATTTCCAAGCAGGTAATTGTATGAAAAATCATACAAATTAATTTCTGAAAATAGAAATACTGAAATAAAGTATTCAGAAAAACATAATAAAAAAAAACTTCTTAGAAAACAACATCTATACAAATAAAAGATAAGTGTTATGAATAAGAACTTCTAAATAGAAAGCTTAAAATAAATCATAGCTAAATACCTGAAATAGATAGTTGGTAGCAAAATTATGTAATATCTAAAAAGAACTGTTTTGGCATATTTTTTAGGTGCTAAAATTGAATGATGTATCATAGAAAACATTATTGTTGCAGAAATATAACCACAAGTACTTGGAGACAGTTGCTCCAAATAAAGCACTAGAAAACCATATTTTGAAACATTTTAAAATAAAACAGAAAATCTGAAAACCAAACTGGACCCAAAAAACATAGATTGTACTTAAGGGCTCAAAATCAAAAGATATAAGAAAAAATATTTTAAATGATTATAATTTGGTGCTGGAAATATTTACAGAAAAAAGCTATTTTTTTTTGCATAAAATAGAACAATAAAGAGTAATATTCAAAAATAATAATTGTCTGACATAAAACTACTAGAAATCAACATAAAGCTTATCATATTTGCAGAATAAATCAATAAGTATTCAATTTTTGCCAATCTTTATAAAAGATAAATGCAATTGACTTATTTTTTTAAGTTTACAATTAAGAAAAATATTTTTGATTTCAGAACTGTTGCAAACATTTGCAAATCATAATGAAACTTTTGTTACTTACAGCAAATCCCCAAAAAAAACTATTTTTCATTGTCTGTTAACAAATATCTCTACCTGAAATTCTGTTTGATTTCTTTGTTTTAAGCACGAAAACATGAATATGGTCGACAAGGTGGTGGAGAAAGATTGATGTATGATGATGGAGAAGAACTTGACGGAGCTTACAGTTTTTCTGGTAAATTGTAGTGTTGTTTTTATTTATTTCATTTTATGAATTTAAGTAATATGCAATTTAATAAAGCATATAGGAAAATATTTACTCTTCTTCTTTACTAATGGAAACTTGGTGAGTCAGTGATAAGTTTGTGGTCTTACAACATTAAAATATGGGGTTTGATTTCCTACTGTGACCAGAGCACAGATAAACCAATTGTGTAGCTTTGTGTTAAACAACAAAAAACTAATGGAATGTGATGAATAAATGAATCACACGATTTATCAAATAACCTACCACTTTTATATGAGAAAATTGAAATGTTTTGATAAATATTTGTTGTGTTTTTCATAAAAACTTTATTAATTAGTTTATCTTTGCCCATTGTCATAATATGCAAGATGAAAAATTGTAAACATTTTTTTTTGGGGGGGGCATCATGTTGACATTTTCATGTGTCTCAGTAATTTTTGAATTCTATATCACAAAGGGTTTGCACAGGTCTTGGAAGTTCTGGAGAGTTGTGGGATTTCATAAACAAATGTTTCAGTACTGGAAATCTTGGAAAATCAATGGATTCCATCTTCAGCATAAACATTTCTATAATAATTAACAAAGGAAAGAGAGAGAGAAATGCAAATCTAAATGGTAATAATGTAATAAAATGAATGATGTAACATAACTGCTGTGTATGAAATAGTCATATATTTGTCTGTCATCTTATACATGAGTGGGTAATCTATTCGTTATATAGTGATCAGTCTAGACCGGAACATTTTGGTTGTTATTTTCAGGACAATTCAGACTGTGAATATAGTATTTTAACGTATCTTATGGACGAAATTCTGGTAAGTGTTTCTTGGGGTGTTGTAAAGTCCAAAATCTGCTGTATCTAACCTACATAAAAGACAATGTGTGTCACATTGTGTCACGCTTGATTTTTCAAAGTAGGAGTCATAAAAGCCAAAATGCATTTATCCAGATAGAATAGTTCGATTACTGTCTTAACTGCATGGTTAGTGTGATAAAAGGGGTTT